TTTATTACTATAAGATAAAGAAGTATCGATCTGATAAATTGACTTTGAAGCTTACATTGTCTACATAGTTAACAAAACAGAAATTAAAGAAACCTGATTTGTAGCTGATCAATTTAAAGTTGATGGTTTTGAGGTTGCTAAAAAATCTGAATACACATCACAAAATATTTTTAAGAATATTGATCTTTTTCTATTATTTATGAAAACTATTTGTTTTTAGGCTATCATTCCATTAAAAACATCTTTTGACATGACACTGTGTGATTATACTACGTTAAAAATATTTTAGTAAATACCTCGTTTCGAAAATGTCTAATATTGTCAAATCTTTTTATGATCTAGTAATATAACTAGTATTAATGAATATGTGTGTACATATGTATGTTGTATCATTTAAAATGATTTAAAAACTTGAATAAAACTAAACAGTTAAAAAAAAGGGATGTTACTAAAATTAGTTAAAATTGTAGTTAACTGAACAGTTCAGAACAGTTGTATTAACACATCTGTATTGTTAATAGATTTGTGCATGTTATAGGTGCGATATCTCTTTAATCCTTAAATATCAACAGCATGTTCTAATAAACAGGGCGCAATACTTGGTAAGTTACCTTTTTGTCAAATTCATTCTTAGAGACAATAAAAACAAATATGCTGACTTAAAATGGCCAGGAGACTTAAAACTTTAAACCCTTTATCATTTAGTTATTCCTTCAATTTGCAGGGTGGATAACTAGTACTCCTTATAATTAATATGCCGTTAGTTATTATACTGACAGTGTGGTATTTTAGGTAAAACTGAGTTAACCCTCAAGTAATCAAATAGGTCAGCTTAACTGGAGAATTCAGAATCAATTTCTTCAAGAAAAGCCTGGAACTGGAGGTGATTAAGTGCATGACCCCGAATGAAGTTCACCGCAGAAACGACTGGTTTCAGTACGCAAGAAATATCTAAGTCTTTCCTACAGAGTGCTTGCTGATGTATAATGCAGTGTATAAACATATACTTGGAAGTTCCGTTATCTGTCAATAGATGGAGAAAAAATTAAGAAAAAATACTTGGAAGTTAATTTATCTCAATAGATGGAGAAACAAATAATAAGAAAAAATACTTGAAAGTTCAGTTATCTCTCAATAGATGGAGAAACAAATAATGAACTTTCAAGTATTTTTCCTTAGTTATCTCTCAATAGATGGAAAAAAATTAAGAAAAAATCCTTGGAAGTTCAGTTATCTCTCAATAGATGGAGAAAAAATTTAAAATATACTTGGAAGTTCAGTTATCTCTCAATAGACGGAGAAAAAATACTTGGAAGTTCTGTTATCTCTAAATAGATGGAGAAAAAAATACTTGGAAGTTCAGTTATCTCTAAATAGATGGAGAAAAAAATACTTGTAAGTTGAGGTTATCTCTCAATAGATGGAGAAAAAATTAAGAAAGAAATACTTGGAAGTTCAGTTATCTCTCAATAGATGGGGAAGCAAATAATGAGGAAAATGGAGAAAAAATTTAAAAAAATACTTGAAAGTTAAGTTATCTCTCAACGATAAAAATATATATGTAATCTGGTTTCATGAAATAATTTTGCGTTTGTAAATGTTTATTGTTGAGTTCTTTGTAATCATGGCAAAGGAAATTAATAACAAAAAAGCTTTAAAATTAAAATTCATTGACTTATGTAAGTGATTGGTGAATCGACTGTTAAAACATTCGATTCGTTTTCTAGATTACCTAGCTTCTCATAAATTAAAACTTGAGTTTATCATTGTAGTGCTCTGAGCTCGGGAGACTTTTCTTCGTTTACAGAGACTTAGTATTCTAAACTTTAATAGGTTTCGGTTTTGATTGCCTCACAGATAACTGGGGTATGTTTAAAACTCGTGATACTTCCTGTGATCTATTTCCGTTTTTTCCTGCTCTTCATAATCCCAGCTAGAATGTTTTCTATTTAGGTCACTTTGACATAAACTAAACTAGACTAAAACGATGAATAAATAAATAAATATATTTAATATATCGTGTGGTTGTTATTAAGCGCAAAGCTACATAATAGGCTACCTAAGTAGTGCCCACCACGGGTATCAAAACCAGATTTTTAGCGTCGTAAATTGATGATATGTTTAATTCACATAGAAACTTTGTTATTAAACTTAACATACGTGTTAATTTTAAATTCTAACAAAAAGTATAATTTGAAAGTAGGCATAGCTGAAAAGAAGTATATGTACATGTACAGGGCTCCTGTGTTTTCGGTGTTTATTTTAAAATATTTTCGAATTTTATGTAGGCTTCTGAAATATGTTGTTTTTTGGAGCTTTCGCTTTCTATTTACTGTATGACATTATTTTCCCCCATATTCTTCTATGTGCGGGGTCTAGTTTAATGTCTATTACATAACTTATTATATGCCTAATAGTTACTTCCACGTTAGTTTAAAGTTTACTACCCCTCAGTAGTTAGGGTGTATACTACCCCTTAGTAGTTAGGGTGTATTTAAAGTACTCAGAACGAAACAATACTAAATAGCAGAAGGGACATTGTTTGAATAACTGTACTGGATATGGGGGGGGGGGTGAAGTTAGCTTGAATCGAGTAATTTTTTTCAGTGTCTTCCTGTATTTATCGGTTAAATCGAAAATCCTGTGTAGTATTTTCTCATGTCATAAATATGCCTATGTGCAGTTAATACTGTAAAGTATTTGGCACACTGTCATCTGAGTCTCGTGGTTCTGAAGTTCAAACTTGAATCGCTATTTTGCGATGAGCAACAGGATACAACAATCAAGTTAAAAATATTCATATTTATTACGTACTCTAGACATTGTTACAACCAATCACAACAATTTAAGGGCGTCATAGCTATATACAGAGAGAAATATATTGTTCAGTAAAATACATAAACAGAGGGTTGATGGATAATGTTTTTCAACGTCAATAACTAACCTTTAAGTTTATAGAATTATTCTGAAAATCTTTAAAGCGAAAGTTGAGACACTGGAACGAGTGTGTTCGACCTTATAATTTACACTGTTTTATACTAAGACTTTATATTTTGTACCGACAATTGTATTGGGACCTTTCAATTTGTACCGAAAATTATATTGAGACCTTATGATTTATACCAGATGTTACCTTTGGACTTCAAAAGTTAAATATCGATTAGATACTTCTTAATCATTTAATTGTGATATCCACCATGAATGTGTAACTTACCCCTTTCTCCAAACAAACGAGTGGGACATTAATTCAATATAGTGTTTATGAAAATAACATTAATCACCTACGTAATGTTTTCAGCCGCGGCATAGCGGCTCATAGAACGGCTCTGAGTTTTTTTATTTTTAAGTACAACCTTTTAGCTCATAGCTCCGTTATCTCTTGAATGATTTGAGATCTAATTACAGTTTTGGACTCTGGAGGTCAAACCCTTTCGATTGATGCATTTGACCATGTCCAAAGTCTCGTAGATTAATTTAATCCTACCTAAAATAGAGATCCTAATGAGTAATAAAATTCAATCCGGTATACGCACGCATCACGCTTGATATTGCAGGCGCACAAAAATATAGCTAACAAAAAAGGAAAATAAAGGTCTTATAGATTAATTTACTCTAATCCTGCCTAAAAGAATGTCAAGTGCCGCGGCTATTGATGATTCACTCTTGTTTTAGTATGAACATATACCACAAAATGAGTGAAATGAATGCTTCTGTTACACTCGCGAGTTATTTAGTACTTTAGGAAATAAAAAATCACAAGTGGATGTGCAGAATCCATTTTTCGGGGGGAGGGGGAAACGAACCAACGTAAATTAGAGATCAGACACTACGTGCGTAGTGATCATTCAAAAAATAAAACAGCCCTGCATTTCTTAATACATTTAGCAAACCAAAACTGCAGATATGTTTCACTAAAGGCCCAAAATCAGTGTGTATATTTTGTTCAATTTTTCTTTTGCACTTGAATCTAAATCGTCTAAATTCTAAGGAAGGCAACATCAAACTTTCGGATATTAGCTGTAAAAAGATAAATAAAAAATGTCTTTACTTATAAAATTTTAAATACATTTTCTATCTGGCAGCAATAACTTAATATCGCAAGTTTATAAAGTTAACAAAATGTGAAATAAAAACAAAAACACCATTCGAGTCAAATTAAATTAAAATGTCAATTTCTCCCAGATGGCGCAACCGACTTGATATATTTTATAACAGTAAAAAGTCTAAAATATTATTGTTCTGTAATTTTATTCTTCTCACAGAGCTGGAAGGAAGACTATATTAACAAAAGCAATCACAACTATATTTGGTCCTAGGCCTAGCTCAGATCAACAGTGGCGTCTTAACAAACTTGTTACAAGTCTGCTGTTTCTGACATGTTGGAGAAGCTGCTGTCATTATTTAGGTTTAAGTTTGTCAGACCTCAGGCTGTTTTGAAAGTAAGTCGGAAAACCTGAAATTTTAGTAATTTTTTTAAATAAGAAACATTCTTGTCGTTCATATCACTGAGAAGTCAAAGATCAATAAATAAATCGAAACCCTGTGAGCTTTCGTAAGATAGGCCTTCTTTTTCTCAATTCTCTGCTTAAGAATTGAGGTTTATTTTCCGAGAGTACTTTCGGGTTTTGGGGGTTCTTGATTAACAATTCACCCCTGGAGAAGGAAGGTCTACTTCACGAAAGCGCTCGGATTTTCAGGTTTCTTATCTAACAAGTAACTCATCCCAGAAGAAGAAAGGTCTACATTCCAAAAATATTTAAATTTTTCTGGTTTCTCATTTAACAAAAAACACCACAGCAGAAGGAGGTCTATTCATCAAAAGTGTTCAGGATTTCGGTGTTACATATAAAAATTATTAATCTCTAATCAGTGAGGCCTAATTGTCTGTGCCTTCATTAGTCAGTTGTTTTATACTTTAAGCAGAAAAGAAAACATCAAAAAGATTTAGACAAATTTTATGCAAATCACAACTGCTTATTGTTAAGCTTCAACACAATGCAAGACAAAAATGTCCAGAATGTACTTCAAAACATTAGTATAACACTAAATTTTGCTAGAGGGCGTAACTAGATCCAACAATCTCAGTCTACTATCAAACATTTAGGAAGTTGATCGTGTAAGTATTTCAACAATTCTGGTGATATTCCTGGACAGTTTGTCAGTTCTAATTCTTCTAGATGATACAGCTGAACGAGTGAAGAAAATCCCTCTTCCGTTAGTAACTGGCAACCTGTAATTGAAATATATGAAAAGGCTTAATAACAATGATGAAAGTAAGGCTACTTAAAACTTGTTAAATAGTAACTGATAGAAGTAGAAAAATCTTATGTAACTCGTAATTGAATAGATTCACTTTACCTGCCAGCGAGAGTATCAGAAGGTTCCGCAACCTACACAACTGTCGAAGACCAGCGTCATGCACACGAGGACACCATCTGAGGTAGAGGGCGTTGAGGTTGGTCATTGTGGATATGTAACCAATTCCTGTGTCTGTGATACCAGAGCACCTGTTGGCCACAATGATACTTAGTTAGCATTTCACACACAAAAAAAAATAACTGGCCTGTACAAAAATTAACGGCTCTCTAGAGTGTTTGTTGAGCTTCACGTTTCTTAGGAAACTGCCATTAAAATTGTTTTATCGTAATGGTATGACGTCATCTCACGGATATAAAACGACTTAAGTGTAGGTTTGTGTTTGTTTTGAATTTTGCAAAAGCTACACGAGGGCTATGTGCGCTAGCCGTCCCAAATTTAGCAGTGAAAGACTAGAGGGAAGGCAGCTAGTCATCACCACCCACCGCCAATTCTTGAGCTACATTTTTACCAACAAATAGTGGGATTGATCGTAACATTATAAGGCCCCCACGCCTGAAAGGGCGAGCATGTTTGGTGGGACGGGGATTCGAACCCGCGACCCTCAGATTGCGAGTCAAGCGCCCTAATCACCTGACCCTTAAGTATAGAAAAATTGAGAGAATTATATACAAAAAATTACATCTGATCTGTCTATGCTGAGATGAGCTCAAAAACTTCAACTTTGTATTTTTCACTGAGCAATGCACATTAAAGTTATTAAGCAGCGCATTGTTGAAGTAGCTTTTTAAAAACTAGAATTTCCAAGAGATGGCGTACGATCTTGGTGTACATCAAAGGCTGATGATGATGACTGAACCACAGACATCGATAGACAACCTATTATGTATATTTCACATACGGTCCTTTGGTACAGAGTCCATTTGGTTCGTGACTCACTTCGGTAGTGAACTATTGAAACAATGAAACGTCCATGATGCTGTAGTCAAAGTGCCAGAGCATTAAGTTTCTGGGACTCCAAACTTGAAGCTGAGTTCTTAGCCCAATTGTTTTTGCAAGCCGAAGTTCCCAATAGGAGAATTGTTAGCCCTATCTTTTCTGGTGCTGAACTGTGGATGTAAAGTTCTCTGGTTCGTGCTCAGTTACCGACACAAAAAATATATAAAAGAATAGCACTCTGAGGCCGTAAGTGTGTTATAAAAGTGATGGTCAAATCCCACAGTTCAGTTTAACAGGAGTATCATAAGAGTTGGTGGTGCGTAAGGTTAAGTGGCTACCTTCCCTCTAATCTATCACTTCAAAATTAGGGACGACTCGCACAGATAGCCCTCGAGTAGCTTTGTGCAAAATCAACAAACAAAATATTTTCTGGAAGCTGAGGTTCCTAATTGAAAATTTGTCAGTCCTATATCAGGGATACTAATTATATTTCATCTGGAAACTGGTGCTCCAAAGAAGGAGTTATTAGTTCTATCTTATCTGACAGCTGAGGTGCCTAAAAGGGAAGTATTGTTTTTATCATATATATAAATATATATTGTTACGTCTCCGTTTGTTAATTAACTTTCCGTAACTTCGATATAAAAGAGGGTGACAACGTGACGGGAGAAGAATGTAATGTGTGTGAGTAGATAGTGAGTAATTGAACTGCAGTCACAGGGTATTGTTGAAGTTAACGTTCGTTCGTTATAGTGTTTGTTTTAGCGCGAATATTGAAATTAAGTGTATCGTAAAGTTATATTCGGAAAGAATAAACCAGTTTTATTAAGTAAAGACTTGTGTCGTTAAAGTTTCGTCGAAAAGTCATGTGACTCGCTGACGCAACAATATGTAAATTATATCTTGTGTTTCACTTTTTTTGGAATCCTTTAGGCACTTGTATAAAGATTATCATTTTATTACAGGACAAACTCACATGTCATTATTTGTACTAAGAAGTTTTGTTCTGAATTTAACAACATTATTCTGCGCTGTTACCAAATTTACAGATTGTTTATTAAGCCTATAAATCAACATGCTTGGTAAAAAAATATTCTATTGGACCATGAATGTCCCAACTAATTTCATCTTGATAGTTTAGTTTATCTGTTAATAGTCACATATCTAAAGAACATCAGATAATATAGATTAAAGATAGGGAGAGGTTTTTAATAACACATGGCATTGCTTCATGGCTGTCTTCATCAAATCTTCATGGATTGTGCTTAGCTTAATGGTTAGTGTCCCTGGACCATCTATTCCAAGGTTCATGATTAACATCTCGTTGCATAAAAAACTCCCACTGCCACAGATGTACTATACACTTTGGGGCCATAGATGTGCTATACACTTTGGTGCCATAGATGTGCTACACACTTTGGGGCCATAGATGTGTTATGCACTTTGGGGCCACAGATGTGCTACACACTTTGGGGCCACAGATGTGCTATACACTTTGGGGCCACAGATGTGTTATAGAGTTTGGGGCCATAGATGTGTTATACACTTTGGGGTCACAGATTTGTTATACATTTTGGGGCCATAGATGTGTTATAAGAGCAATGGTCGAATACCACTATTCGTTCAGATAAGAGATGCTGAAGAATTGGCGGCGGGTTTTGTTGACTAGCTGCCTTCCCTCTGGCCTATCTCTCCAAAATTAGGGACAGCTATGCTCAGATAATCCTTGTGTGGCTTTACAAGAAAATTCTAAAAGAAACAAAAACTCCCTCTTTTGTGTGGTATTCGTAGTGAAACGATTTTAATAATAAGTAATAAGTTAGGCTCTCTAACTGGAGGTTCACAGAATACTTAAAAACGGAGAATAACTCTCTCTAATCTACAAACGGGATCATCAAGAAGAACACAAATATGTATTTACACAATAACAAAGTTAAACAAGGGCAAATGTTTATTGGTGTCGAACTGATAAGATCGAGATGAAGACTTTATTTTAAAAAACTTTTATCAGTTTGTTGTGTTCCTTCTGCTAATGGAAGTTATACTAAAACCTCAAAACATAATACACAAACAAAGCCACTTTTGCACACAAAACGCACCTCACGTTCACGATCTATGTCCACTGTGATTCGAGATTGAGGACGCGCCTGCACTTGACCTTTATCCGATTCGAGGACTTGAAAGATAACTTCTCATTTCTGGAAATCTGGTTATTTTTCATACTCTCAAAAACAGGGAGAGTTATAGTGTTACTTGAGCAAAGTTGTTCCTTCAAACTAAGAACTTTGAAAAACAAAATAATTTAAAAAATATATAGGACACTTAACTGAAGGAATATTAGCCACATAGTATCATCCTGTACTACATTTGTAAACTTGTAAAGCTATTATATTCTAATTGCGATAGTTTTTTTTGGGGGGGGGGGCGGAAGTTACTCTTGTCTGACCAAATAGCTGGATTTAATCGTCCCCTTTATATCGCACCCATGACCCCAAAATGTGGAGGGATATTTTTTTTTTTTCTGTTTGCAGCAACGGGATGCGTATAGGGAAGCCTTAGATTCAAGGTTATGTGTACTAACCAGCGAACTATGATTTATCCTGAATCTAATAGATGGAGGAACAAAAAAAAAACAATCTTTTGGAATAAACCTTGAATAAACGTTTCTTTAACCTTCAATCTGTGTGTGTGTATTCTTAGTGTTCCTACTATGGACAGATTCCAATATTTTCTTTAACTTACTACAGACACTAATGTGGAACCTACTGGCCAACACATTTATATATGCTTAACATTCTTTTCTTAAACCAGATGTTAAAAACAAAATACAACTAATTACATCCTGTGTTTCTGGGTGAAGGTCTCGTCCCTTGATGTCATCTGGTTTTTCTTATAGATAGTTGTTTTAATTTTCTCGACCGAAACCTACCTTGCTTACCGTTCTCTATTTTTAACAAATAACGACACCAGGAAGAAAACAGAACCTGCGTAAGAGTAGTCCTTGGAGATCATTGACGAAAAAACAGCTGTGAGCTCGAACAGGATATCTAATCTTGAAGCAGATAACTTTATATAATGGAAGTCCTTGTGTGGTGTAAGTGCCATCAGACTAGGTGACGTCAAGAGTTTTACAAATAGGCTAACCTCGAAATGTCAAGCAAAATCATGACAAAGTTTGTCCTTGTAGGTCACACCTGTATCTCAACAAACCAACACTAGAATTTTCATCTTTTTATCCCCACGCCCCCTAATCACTCAGCGGTATGTGTGTAGGTTTCGATACCCGCGGTGGTCACAACAAATATGACCCATTGTGCTTAACAACAAACAGTGATGTTAAGGTGTGAAAACAACGGTTGTCAGTCATAAACAAAAGTGTATCATCTCTTCTGTTTATGTACATAAACAATGACGTTAAGGTGTGAAAACAACGGTTGTCAGTCATAAACAAAAGTGTATCATCTCTTCTGTTTATGTACATAAACAGTGATGTTAAGGTGTGAAAACAACGGTTGCAACCGTTGTTTTCACACCTTAACGTCATTGTTTATGTACATAAACAGAAGAGATGATACACTTTTGTTTATGACTGAGAACCATTGTTTTTACACCTTAACGTCACTGTTTATGTACATAACAGAAGAGATGATACACTTTTGTTTATGACTGGTCAGTCATAAACAAAAGTGTATCATCTCTTCTGTTTATGTACATAAACAGTGATGTTAAGGTGTAAAAACAACGGTTCTCAGTCATAAACAAAAGTGTATCATCTCTTCTGTTTATGTACATAAACAGTGACGTTAAGGTGTAAAACAATGGTTCTCAGTCATAAACAAAAGTGTATCATCTCTTCTGTTTATGTACATAAACAGTGATGTTAGTGTGAAAACAACGGTTGTCAGTTATAAACAAAAGTGTATCATCTCTTCTGTTTATGTACATAAACAGTGATGTTAAGGTGTGAAAACAACGGTTGTCAGTTATAAACAAAAGTGTATCATCTCTTCTGTTTATGTACATAAACAATGACGTTAAGGTGTAAAAACAATGGTTCTCAGTCATAAACAAAAGTGTATCATCTCTTCTGTTTATGTACATAAACAGTGATGTTAAGGTGTGAAAACAACGGTTGTCAGTCATAAACAAATTAAAATCCACCATTTTTATTTATTTTTTAAGTTACTAGACAACTCGAGTAAGTAGTGATCTCAACAAGAACAAATGTTTCTTGTAAATCTGACTTTCTGGT